GCCTGGTGCGCTCTTTCGGGTCCTTCGGCTCCTCCTCAGTGCCGATGTAGTGAGCCACCTTCCGAAACACAAGACTGCATAGCACTGCCTGGCCAACCTTCCGGAAAGCCCCTCAGCTATATCCATATCCCTAACTCAAATATTTTCTCTTACTTTTTATGAGTCAAAAGTGTACTGGATGTAGTTTATATAAAGAGAGAGAGAGAGAGAGAGAGAGAGAGAGAGAGAGAGAGAGAGAGGGCAAAGAAACAAGGGGCAGAGTGGTGTGGAAAAGAAGCAGCAGTTAGCAGGAACAGAGTTAGAAATTTCTTTTAGTGGGGGCAACCTGAAAATCAATTAAGAAAACCTAATTATAATATGGCTTATAACCAATATGAAAATATGGATGATTTCAAATCATAATGTATCACAATTACAATGTTACAAAAATTTCAGTGTAGTAGTGGAAAGTGGCAAAGTGATAAGAAAAATATTAATACATAATTACGCAAGAGTGAGATTTTTCGGTTTGAATGACAAAACAAGAGCACTTTTGCTCATGTAATATTTGATATGAAGTATACGCAGTATGAAAGTATGTTGGATACTAGGTACATATATTTTCTTCAAAAATAACACATGTGTATTATATAATTGTAGTCTGCAACTTAACAAACGAATCACTTGAGTGGGTGCATATGCCCCCAGTGAGCCTTCATTGGCTCCGTCCTTGGCAGCTAGCCGCTAGAAACAAAGGAAAACCAGAGGTTGTTTGGTTTAAGGCGTTTTAAGACTGCTATGACTGTCGTTTTTCCTGTATTATTATTATTTTTAATTATTTTTACAGAAGCAATAGATAACTTAATCGATCCTAACAAACACATACAATGAAATATATACACCGAGGTGTTAGATGGGTGTATCTCCAGTAACCAATTTCTTAATTTGAAGATAAAGCCGACTGCTTCGTAAATAAGGAAAACCCCTATACATCTACCACAACAACTCACCGAAGCAATGCAAACACGATGAAACAAAACTAAGGACAAACTATGTAATTCGAGAATGAAATCATCAAATCATCAAGTCTCCACTGTGAGGACAAAGTTGCTTCTAAAGCGATCTATAACAGCCATGTAAGGAAGAACCCCCATAAATCTGTCTTGATGAGGCGACTAAAATGTCGTACAGGACACCCATGTATTATTTAGGTCGTCCAGGAAATGAAAGGGTGGGGATGTTACTCGGGTCTTCGACGTATGTATTGTTGAACATCCAGGAGTGTTGGAAATGTGCCCTAAAGCCAATCATATGATGATACTTTACGGACATTTCACATGTTAAACTAATCTAGTTTAATATAAAGGGCAAAGATTATTGTTTGAGCCGTCTCATATAAATGTTATATGCTTAAACGATAAAGTCCAAGGAATATGTGATTGGGAGAATGCGATCTAATGAAGTTAGATTCATGAGACCATTCTTTCGTAGACACATCCTAAATGTTCCTGATCATAGGATTGCCAATTGGGCATTGACAGTCCGTTAAGATCAGTACGTGCTGTGTCTTCTCTCAGGGAGAGTGACTAGTCTCGAGTCATTGGTGTGTGTGACATCAAGACAAGTACGTAGGTGCTCAATAGAGAATGAGTTCACTGAACACGATCAACGAAGAGTTCTCATATTCATGTCACATGAGAACTCATGGTTGGGATAATGCAAAGTAGTCCTTTGACCTGAGGCATCACAGTTGTCTTGTGGTTAAGTCCTTGATCTTTGATTATGTCAAAGTCATTCCATCGGGGTGTCCACGGCATCGTTGGGGTTAAGCCACTTAGCCATGGAGGCAAGTGAATGCGCAACAAGGGATCTCTAACCTTCAAACCGTTTGAGGGAGAATACTCTATGATATGATTTAGAATCTCTGGCCAGAGTATGAATGAGATTTAGGAAGTCGTTCCAAATCACATTCAAGGTAATCATATAAGCACACGAATCACATTGGATAGTAGACATGAATAAATAAACTATCAAACCAAACAATGTGGTCAAGAGTATTGTATTAGAGAAAGACCGTATTGCATTTGTAATCCTAAACTGAATAGGTTCTCCACCTCTTCTGATTAGCTTGGGTAACCATGATATGCTGCTAGGTGTCACTCATGGTTTGTGGAAGCCCTAAACGTGTATAATCACTAAAGGGAGAATTGAAAGTAAGTTTCAATTCACAATCGATTTGAAATGAGTTTTAATCGCCCACTGCCTCGCTAAAAGGAACCTAATGGATCGTACACCGTGTAAGGTGGAGATTGAAGAAACAATGGAGATGAGTAAGAATAATTAAATGGTTTAATTATTTTATGGCAAGGATTAATTAATATGTTAATTAATCAAACGAATAAGTTCGTTAAAGACCTCGGGATAGTTTTTGGACCTTAAGGCCCAATGGGCTTCGAACGTCAAGCCCATTGACTTAAGTTGTATGACAACTTAATGAATAATTCACAAAAGGCCAAAAGCCCAAACAAACCCTAAGGCCGGCCATATGGTTAAGGGTAGTGAACTTGGACTTATTTACAAGTTTGCCACTCAAATGAATAAAGGTATAAATATGACTTATAGCCAAAATTCATTTAGGGTTTCTTTTGGAGAAAATTGGAGAGAACATGTCTCTCCATTTCTCTCTAAAGAGGCCGGCCCCTTGGAGGGTGCATCTAGCAATCCCACTACTCCAAGGTCACTCATTTCTTCTCCAATCTAACCTTGGTGAAGAGACTTAGAGGTTCTCAATTTTGGGAACTTGGAGAAACCTATTCTTCCATCCAAATCCATAGATTTAAGATGCAAGGAATGAAGGCCCCTCTCTTTGGGTGATTAGCCTTTGCTTATGCAAAGAGGAATCTACAAAGGTATAAATTTCAACTCACTTTGTTTTGAGTTGAGTTTTGGTTCACCAATCTACTAGGCTTTGAATTTCATGGTTAATGTTTTGTTTTTAAGTGCATGCAAGCATGATTCCGCCTTTAATTGTTAATTGCATGCTTATAGATGTTGCTTAAATGAACATGTTTTCACAAAATATTCCTTCAAGAGAAGAAACAGGCAAGAAAGGAACGGGCCTGAGTAGAACCCCCGATTTGGAACGCCAATTTTTTGCCACCGATGCGAATTTCATTTTATACCAATCATACAGTTATCGATCCAGCTTCATTAGTGAGAACATAAGCCTATGAAGGAACATAAAAGCTATCAGATCAAGCGCTCATGTATGGGTTTTCTCAAACCTGAGGTCTGAGTAAGGCGTTAGGTACGCGTTGGCCCATGAAGACATGCATTTAGACTTGAACAAACGTCACTTCACTCCCACATGTTGACTCAAGGATGGAGTAGTAGCTAGCAAGTCATGTCTATATACTTGGCTCATTAAATGCGAGGGCGGTGGAGTATTCAAGCCCAAAGACTTTTAGGGTCTCACTGAGAGCCTATATAAGGTGGAAGGGTACCTCTCATAAGGGTTGAAAAAAAAAGAAAAGAAAAAGATTAGATCATAACCGAGTGCTCTTTGTAACCAATTCTCAATATATATACTAGCACCATAGTTGACGTAGCCTAGTTTTGAGGGGTGAACTGCTTAATTAATCCTTGTTAAGTTGCTAATGTCTTAATCTTGAGCACACCAAGGCCCGACCGCACTGGTATTTGTTAACCTCCTAGTTTTGAGTGCTAACATTAAGTTATTAATTAATCCATAAATTACTAAAATATTGATTATTGATTATTTAATATTTTGTTGAATACAAGTTTTTCCTTGGTCTCACGGCTGTTAATTTATAGAGATTTAATTGTAGTACTAATAGAAAAAGGTTTTTGTCACAAATGGTCTCTGAAATTGACTCACTTCATCAAGTTGGTCCCTCAATTTGAAAATCAATCAAAGTAGTCTCTGGAAATTGGTGTTACAAATCAATGTGGTCATTTGGTTAAAAATCTGTCAAAAAAATTGTTATGTGCTGATGTGGCACATAACTTGGTTTTACAAGTCTAATTAAATATTTTTATTTGAATTAAAAATATTATTTTACGTAATTAAAAACTTGAAAAAAATAAAAATAAAAGAGAGAGGAAGAAGATGAACAGCTCATCTTCTTCTTCCCCCCCCCTCCCCCCCAGCCGTCACACATGAAGGGGAGATGCCATTCTCTGTATAAACTATAAAGTTCCTAATGAACGGCATATAGCCGTCAGAGCACTGCAAGAAGCTCAAGCCTTTGTCTCTCCAACCACCTCCCGAGAGTCCTCCGCTGGTACTCAAATGCCTCCCACGTCGATCTCACGTTCTGCCCGCGAGTCATGGAGGCCTCCCTCGCCGCCGTTCAAATGCCTGCAAGTCCAGCCTCCTTTCGATAGATCAAATGCCTGCAAGTCCAGGCTGCTTTTACGGAATTGGGTTACTGAGTTTGGCTGCCAATTCCAAGAATCTGGTGGAGATCGACCTGTCGAACACCACCGAGCTCAGAGACTTCGCGGCGGCGGCGAAGAACATTCAAATGCCTTCAATCCATCTTCGTTATTCTCTTTTTTTCTTTTCTTTTTTTTTTTGCTTTTTTTTAGTTTTTAATTATACAAAAAGAAAAAATGTTTTTCATTAATTAAATATTTTAAATTCTTATAAAATTTTTTTATTAGATTTGTGGAACCCAATTATGTGCTCAGCACATAACAGAATTTTTGATAGATTTTTAACAGAATGACAATATTGATTTGCAATATCCATTTTTAAGGACTACATTAATTCATTTTCAATTTCAAGGACCATCTTAATGGGATGGGTCAATTTAAAGGATCATTTGTGATAAAAATCCAATAGAAAATGATAGTGTTATCCACACACCTATTTTTATTTCTCGCACACATCTCTTAATTTGAGGTCGTCGGATCGAATGAAAGGTAAAAAATCAATGGTAAAAAATTAACAAGAGCATGTGAGGGATAAAAATGAGTTGAGGAAATAACACTATCCATAGAAAATCACCAAAAGTCATCAACTGCATATATATTGTGAGAGGCAATTATCAACTCTTCAAACAGAATATTAATGCTCTTTGGCATTCAGGATCGTGACTTTGTGCTTAAGATTTAGAGGCATTTATTTACAGAAAAAATGCTATAACATAAAGGCACAGTAAAACAATTGAGACAGTCACTGCATGTGTATCTCCATCCCTGCCAAATATGAAGCAAATCAAGAACATAAATGAGTAAAAAATATATATTAAAAAAAAAAACACTACTCGGCAGGATGCAAAATGTGTGGCTTCAAGCATCTCCATTCTCTCCGATCATTGCGTCATCGTCCTTGCTGTCATCATTGTCACCATCATTGCCGATCTCTAATGCATAATGCAACAAATTTTCGAGCTATTGTGTAGGTTGCCTCTTGTCAAATGAGAAGTCTTTCGACCGCTCCATGTTAATTTCGTGTTGTGTTTGAGCAGGTTCCATGACAGTAATACTAGTATCAGTTATTGTAGTTTTCCCATCAACCGAATTTTGTTCATTGACATCAACCCTCTCACGGTCTACATCTCCCATTTCAATATGGTGGTGGTAAGAGGATGAACTGCCATCTACATGGAGGTGGTGTGAGGGGGAGGGTGATTCGTTGGCCCAACGTTCACCCTCGAAATTTGATCTTCTTGGTGATGCATGGAAACTATCCACTTCGTTCCGATAGTTCCGAAGGAGGTGGACGGGGGACGTGTGGTGGGATGGAGTGACTGGTCTGCTAGACATTGGGGTTACGGAGCCTTTGTTCTGCTTTATGTGCTTCCTGGCTGTGTGATGCCAGTTGCGTAAAGCTGCGGCTACTCTTTCATTGAATATGGTTGGTTTCATGGTTGAGCCCATCTGCACAAATCAACATATAAAGTCAAATATTAATTTCAAGATTTATTCAATTTAGTCATCGATATAGTGAAAACATGTTTATTTGTGTGATTCAGATTCACTCGGACAATGATATATAATAACAAGTGTCATATATTGACAAACTCATTCATAATCATTCGACTAGAACTTAGGACCTGCTTTTTAAAGTAAATTTTGAATGTCATTACAACCAATAGCCATTTTGTCACGTAAATTCACAATTAATTGGATCAATTTGGTTCTCATTAAAACTCCGTGGTTGCTCAATTAAATCTATGAATTGATGATCATGTATTTAGATCATTACCTGTGTGACAAGGGCATAGAGGGGTAGAGTGACATAACTGCAGAGAATCTGTATGAGGATCCTAAAAATCGCCACCGTTAATTGTGTGTTTGAACAATTTTAACGGTTAGGAAAATAGGAAATAATTAAGAGTTAAGTCCAAGGAAGAAGTGAGACTCACCCCATTGAAACTCTGATGACCACGTCCTCAGTGTGCTCGTGAAAACAAGATTTCAAGCTAAATTCATACTGAAATGCCAAAAATTATCAGATAATTAGTATACTATTCCACTTTTCTTATTTACTTATCTAATAAATCTCAGATTAATTAACCAATTAATTAATAATTAGGAAAATGTAACTTACCCAACTCCATGCAAAGAAAGCAAGCTGGAAGGCATTCTGACATTGATAAAAAGATAATGCAAAAGGATCAGTGTATATATACATACATAGGGTTTAAGAACTCTAGGAATTAATTAAGTTCATGTTAATATAATTTAAAGTACTGAAAACTCTGTTAAAATTATTAAGGTACCTGAAAGAGAACAAAGTTGATGAGGTAGAGAATGAGACGAGGGCGGTTGAGCCAAAAGAGATGATCACCAGGTTGAACCACAGGAAGCCCCTTTACAACCTCTCCGCTTTCTTGAATTCGAAGACCCATTTTCGTGATGATCACCTGTAGCTTGGTCCCCACCAAGAGGATGATCTGAACGTCCAAGTGCATTTTCCACCGTTAGATCTATCCATCTTGTGGTCCCACTATTATATTATGACTACTTGGTAGATTATGATGAGGGAAGAGATTTTACTTACAATCAATGGGATGAACGGTAGCCAATAGTAAGTATACCAGCCTGTCCAAACGAAATTCAAGTAAGCTTAATCAAATAAGTAATTAATTTAATTATGTTGGAACATATATAATTTGGGGTGTGATATCTACACCCCTTTTTACTTCTCTCATACTTTTTTGGTTTTTGGCTATCGGATCGGATGAATTGAAGAAGATCAACGGACAGAAATTAACAAAGGGTGTGTGAGAAGTAAAAAGGGGTGTGTGGATAGCACACCCCTATAATTTAGTAGGTGAGGACGTGATTAAATACATGAGTTTACTCACCGTGGGTGTTAAAAAGTATGAATATCACCGCAAAGAACCAAATTGGAGGGCTGCAGTTTGTAACAAAGAAAATGGAAGTTTATGTCAACAAACAGTGAAATAAAAAGGACAAAAAAGTAGAAGAAAACACCAAATCACTAACCTGATTCCCACAACTACCTTGAAATCCTCTTCAAGTGATCTGTTTATGTATTTTTGGAAATTGAAATTCTGATGGCTTTGGGGTGCCAAATGTGCCTGAAATATTGTTGTGCAATATGTTATTGGTTACAGAATATAATTATTATCCAAACTAATGTATGTCACGCGTTTTATATTATTATTTTTCACAATCTTATATGTCATAACAAAGCATAACTTCATTGAATCAATACATCAATTATATTAAAAAAAATTCCACGTATTGTATGAACGTGTGCGTACAATACAATATAGTTGTCAATTTGTGAAAACAAGGTGTAGAACTTTTGAAATTTCATCACCTGGGTAGATTATGATAAAGCACTTACCATGATAAACCCATGCCGCAAGGTTAAGTAATCCACTTTGGGAACGGACCTTACAAATTGTCTAAAAAAACAAACCTGCAAATTGTATAAAATAAATGGATGGTAAGGCAAAAGAAAGTATAAAAAATATTTACATACCCTCGGGTCAACACTTAAATAAACCCAGTTGAAATAAAAAAAATCACTTTAAGAAACTACATATAAATGTAACAAAAAAGAAGAGAAAATGCTTTTCGAAAACAAAACAAAACAAAACAAAAGCTAGGAATAGGAAGGCTTATGAGAGAAGTCTTGAACTTCCACCATTATTGCTTATTTCGTGACACATGACCTTCTGTACCTCACAATTCCGTGAAATATGAATAAAATCAAATTAGGTGTCCTTTGTAAAAGTCAAACTATCAGTCAAATAAAGGAGGAAATTGTCCTGTGCATGGGCACCACCCAGTTCTTATCTATAGTGGCAAACTTAAGACCGTAGATGCCGCATGGCAGGACAAATTAAAATGAAGCCAATTTGTATTGCCAAAGTTTTCTTATAGAATCTCATTATTTGTACACACAATTCAGAAGAATATCTAGAAGGTTAGAAGGGTCTTCATCCTTATATTGACTTCAAAAGTCAAAATCATAGCTAAATGCTTGAAAAAAACGCTTTTACAAAAAAACCAAAAAACGCTTTCACACCATTTTTCGAAAAAAAAAGGGGCTTCACACCATTTTTCGGAAAGAAAAAAAAAACGCTTTCACACCATTCGTATATGTAAAACCACTTAAAGGGATTCTTGTTTGTCAAAAAAAAAAAAAAAAAAGAAAGAAAGAAAGAAAGAAAGAAAGGAAAGAAAACAACTTAAAGAGACGACTTTGATATATAGGCTATACCCTAATCTTGGTGTTTGGCTTTTTCTGATTATCTCTTGCATGTTAATATAAATTTTGGCAGAGATCTTCTGTACAGGACCCTACTACACACTCCTACAATAATTGTATGCTTCTGCAGTATGGGTCGATAACATACAAAATGTTAAATGGCACATTATAAAAAGTGAATGCTAAAAATGTCTTGTCTATCAAAAGTACTGTTCTAAAAAATTTCACATAGGCGTTAGATAGTTAGTCATCGCTTCGATTAATTTCTAGAAGTTTAAAAATTAAGAAATTACACCTAAATTTACCTAGGCGCCTGCTTAGGCACCATCTAGCCCCTAGAACCGATTACGTCGCTACTCTCACTTAGACAAAAAATACATAACTTTCATTTTACATATTTTATTTTTTCAAGAAATTATAAAAGACTTATATAATACTTGGATGAACACCCACTTGTTTTGCAATATATATATTCTAATACAATAATGTATTTTTTTTTAAGTATAATTAGTCATTTCTTTATATGTTATACAATATTTGTATACTTCTGTAGTATGTTTCGATAACATACAAAATGTTAAATGGCACATTATAAAAGTCACTAGACAGTTGGCCATCACTTCGATTAATTTTTAGACGTTTGAAAATTAAGAAAATACACATAGACCTGCCTAGGCACTTGCTTAGGCACTATCTAGCCCGTCTAGAACCGGTTAGGTCGTTACTCTCACTTAGACAGAAAATACATAACTTTCATTTTACATATTTTATTTTTTCAAGAAATTATAAAAGACTTCTTAAATACTTGGATAAACACCCACTATATGTTTGTTCCTCATGTTTTTAATATGTTATAATATTTTATAATCTATATATCATTCTGTTTTGCAATATATATATTCTAATACAATAATGTATTTTTTTAAAGTATAATTAGTCATTTCTTTATATGTTATATAATAGATTTAACTAAAGCTAAACAAACTGCCTAGTCCCTCGTCTAGGCACTAGACCTTTATCCGCCGCCCGACTAGCCCACACTTTTTAGAACCTTAAATCAAAAGCATACATGCAAGAGAGGATTAGTGTATGCATCCGTTTATAATAACGCTATTCTTGCTAATTGTAACATAGTTGAGAGTATTATCTTTAACACACGAGGTTCTTGAGTTACTGTCGTACACAAGTGGCTCGGACATATTTTCCAACAACTTTATCAAACTTTTATTAGGCCTTAAGCTTATTAATTCCAATGGCCATGCCACGATCACTCTCCTTGGCAGCATTAATTTCTTATTAAATGACATGTCAGTTAGAACGTGGCGTCATTAATTTTGTTGGGACAAGGATTGTCTGTCTTCCACTTCCGGTGCTCTTCTCGTGCCTTCTTGTTTGTGTGGTCACGGTTAAGTCACGTCAATATTTTATATTACTATTTATTTTTGTCTTATTATATCTATAAAAAAAATAATATAAAATGTTAACGTAGCTTAACCGTGATCACACAAAACAGGAGGACACGGAGAAGGCACTGGAAGTGGAGGGCAAACAATCATTGTCCATTTTGTTGGGCTTATAAGAGAAAACTTTTCATTAGTGACACTTGACCTATAATTCTTTTCTTAAAAACTTAACATTAGAAGGGAGAAGTATTACTGAATTACTGAATTAGGGTTTGTATGATTGAAGATACACTGAAACAATCAGGCCAAAACAAAAGCAGGAAAGATCAAACAAATAATTGATACCCTATATACTTTTATCCACTCTTTTTTAAGTGCCTCCACGTCAATCTAGCTTTATAATCTTAATTTTCTTTGTAATTATTTTTAAATTAACCTATTTGTGTTACGAGAATCACTTGATTATTATTATTCGTGTGTACGTGTGAAATCTGAAAGGGCAGTGTTTTTATTTTTATGTCATGTGAAAGGGATTGTTTCCTTGACTATCTTAACACTGATCAAATCATAATACTAACACTAGCATATGGGCACACACAAAATGTGAGAAAATTTTTTATTTTTGTTTTTGAAATAGAAGGAGAGAGGAAGAGAGTGATAGAGAATGTGGGAGTGTGAAGGTTTTTTTATTTTTATTTTTTTATTTTTTTATTTTTTTTATTTTTAAATTAGAGATATGTTAGGATTACATGTAGATGAGACTTTGAAAAAAAAATAGCTTAATTTGGTTGTGTGAAATTACATTCCTGCCCCATATTTCTTATTCATGTTTTGTTTTAATTAGAAGGTTAAACTGGTAATTTCATAGAATTTTGATTGACAATGAGTGTTTTATTAATTAGTAGAGATAAGTTTCCACGCAACTAACAATTATTAGGTATTTAGATTCTTTATTGTTTGATAAAGAAATGAATAAAAAAATATCAATGCGGACGTCAATCTGATGGCGAATACTAAATTCACCACAAAAAATTCATGTAGCAAGAAACACAAATTTGAAAGTATTTAAGCCATTAGGGGTGAAAAATTGACATTATAATGCGTAGAAAGTATGTAAGTCAATTAGGTTAGTATAGTAAAGGTGGGCGGGATAATAGATAAGAGTAGATTAGGTTTAGAATTCTACGCCATTCAATCTTAAACAAAACGTTATTATTGTTATTATTATTGGGAATTATTATTAGCACTCTAAAAATCTCATTCTACACTCTTCACAAGTATATTTTTCTTTCTAATTATAGAAGTTTCGAGTGCCAGATGAAATTTTTTGAGTACTAATAGCAATTCCCTTATTATTTTGTAGCTTGAAAGATTTCAATAAGAACCAGGCGATTAATAATGATGTATATATTAACATATACATGCCATGCATTCATAAAATGCACAAAGAATGATTATACTAACATAAAGGATAAAGGGAATAAGAGTAGAGGGCTCTTACTATCCACATAAGGAAAGGTGTTTTGGTCCAGAAACTCATATGCCTCCTCCCAAAAGATGTGTCCCTTGCAAACCTGAATCTCTCTGGGTCTGTCATACACACAACACATGCCAAAACAAAAATGTCAAATAATTGAATGACTCATTGACTCTGAATAATTTCCTTTCATATATTGTGGTTAAAATTAAAAGTCACAATTAGAGACTACAAGACTTTAAATAATCCATTATTTCATCTAGTTAATTTGGATGTTTAGAAATTTTTGGCTCTTGGAGATTATTTATGAATTTGCAGTACTAACCATGAGAAAATTGATATTCAACTGTTCTTGTTTCCTTTTCCCACCGCTTCCAACTTCCCATCTGAACTCACCAAATAGTCATCATAATCAATTAATTTCCATTGATTATAATGAATTAAAAGAGAAAAAGAAAGATCAGTTAATTAATTGTAAATTGATGTACCTTGGCTCTTCCTAAAGCCATTGTGAGGATGCAATAAAGGACATGGAAAACAGCCAACACGAAGATAAAAATGTGCAGTTGATGAATACCATCCGCAGATATAAAAGGTACTTTACCCTGCAAAATTTGAGTAGACATTCCATGAGCCTTAATTCCTACATTATAAACAAATATTTACGTGTTTGATTCATTCCTAATTAGTTTCTGGTTTGCATTTTGAAATTGCTTAGAGATCAAGTATAATTCACCAACTTGATTTCTTGTAAAAACCAAAATTGATTCCGATTCACCTCTAATTTATACATCTGCATGGACTTGTCTGATAACTGATAAGATATTACGTGTACTCGTCTGATATAATATAAGCAATGCTAGCTGACAAATGGCTACTTGTTTATTGAGTGCATCTTAAGGAAAAGTCTAAAATACGGAATTTCTACATCATGATAATTAATTTATGCTGGGTGAATTTTTTGAATAATTAACAATAGTTTTGTTTAGGTTAAAATAATGAGTATCAAAAGAAATTGTAGATTAAAATAAGTACCTTGGCCGGTTTTTTATTCTAGGAACAAAAATAGAATTGAAAAAAAAAAATTGTAGATCAAAATAAGTGGTGAACGTTCGTAGTTCCTACCGTTGCTGAACATTTGTCGGTGCCAGCAGCAGCCAGAACACGGCGTGAGCCACCGCCCGTCTCGTTAAACAGAGAGAGCAGTCTCCTGCTCGGGGTTTCATCCACATACTCCAAATCCTCTTCCTTATTCAATTTGTCTTCTTGCTTCTTGCCACACGGATGCCAAGTGTTGCCAATTTTCTGTGATATGCATATGTTTGATATTGGTCCTTGTCCCACAGTTAAGAGCAAGGATATGAACCCCAATAACATAAGCTCTATTACACCCACAAACACAAATAAAACATAGGTATTAGCTCAATAATCTCAATATGTTAACTCTCACTAAATCAATTAACGAGCGGGAAATGATTGCTGCACCATTTTTCTCCTCTGGCACAACGCTGATTATTTATAGCCTTTTGATCGGAAAAACAAAGAATCAAGACACGAAAAATAGACCGGCTGTGCATAAGGAGAAAAGTGGTGTCCATAAATCATTTCCAGTTAATCAGTTAGTCTATGATTTGACATGGGTTTTACCTGATTTGATCTTTTCTAGTGCTTCGTAAAGGGCGCTTTTGTGTTTCTTCTTTAACCACTGCAAAAATGGTGAAAGAAGTAATGTAATGAAATTCAAACTCAGGAGAGTAAACTAATGAAGAACCAGAAGTCGGTCTAAGCACCCAAATTAATGAACTTTCAGTTGAAGTATGACTTTACCTTTGCTATAAGTTCGATTATGTGTTCAATGATTATTGAAATCAAGACCAAAACAAAACAGACTACGGCAACAGCCCACGTCGGCGTTTGCTCTAACGATCTTCCAGACGTTGCCGCTGCCATGTTTTCTGGATTAAGTTGCCCAATTGACAAAGAACAGTGAAATGAAATAACTTAAGTTTCGAATAAGTTGCCCAATTGACAAAGAACCCAATTGACAAAGAACAATGAAATGAAACAACTGAAGTTTCCAATAAGTTGCCCAATTGACAAGGAACAATGAATGAAACAACTGAAGTTATCGAATCATGAATATGAGAGAGAGAGAGAGAGAAAGAGAATATGAAATAAACATGTGAAGGTAATAGAGAGGTTGCGGGTGTTAAAAGGAGTTGAAATGAATTCAAGGAAAGGGACTGCAGTGGAAAATTTTGACTTTCGAACGCGTAAGAGAATATATAGAGAGAGAGAGATTGTCCTTGACCCGTTAAAAAAAATCAAACACAGTTATTTTGACCGAATAATAATAGTCCCCTTTAATTTAAGAGTAATATTAGGTTAATTAAATTTAGAGATAAAATTTATCAAATAAATGATGTCGTATCAATAGAAATAAGTTTATTAACACTTAAATTATAAACCAATCATCAACTTCCATGTAATTTAGTTTCTAAAATTTTGTCTACAAATTTAGTTTATTTAGCATTACCCTTAATTTTATTAAGTTAAATGCTAAAGAGACTTTCTTAAAAGTGAAATTTTCTATGAACTCTCTCGCACATCATTTTTTATCACAATTTCGTGCCAAGATTATAAAACATTATGTCAAAAAGATGAGGTGGTGAAAAATCCCACTTTAAGATAGTTTCCTTAGCATTTTTTTTTCACATACAACATTATATCTACATGAAAGAGCATGGATTTTGATTAGTCACACAATGAATCAATTTTAATATTTAGTATCAAGCTCGTCATTCACAAAAATTAAAATCTATTATTTTTTACTTACCAAAAAGAAAAACACATCTAAATGATCGTAATATTAAGTTGCATTGATTCCAATAATTGATTACCACTGCTAATGACTGCCCCAGAGTCGACCCCTAGCTTAAAATTTAAGGGATATGTAATTCTTTTTGTTTCTCAACCTTTGGATCCCCAATCAAAGGGTCCAAAACTGAGGACATGTACAAGAACATTTCTGGTCTCCTGGAGCATTAAGATAATATAATATACTCCAGAAAGAGACGAAATAAAAATGTATGGTTCCTATTTTCGTGTATGCTATGAACAAATTGACTGACTCATGAGAGTGACGGGGTTTGACAAATCATAGAACAAGTGGCGAGTCAATAATGCATATTACATGTAAAAAATTAAAAAATTATTGCCTGCGTTATTGACTTGTTCCCTTTCATCAAATTCTCTCAATCCATCAATTTCGATCTTTGAAATTTTGATCAAACGAATAAAGTTATTATAATTTTTAAAAGAATTCTCTATTTGTAATCGTTAGATTAAATTTCAAAGATCTAAATTGATGAATTGAGAAAATTTAATGGAAGAGATCTAGAGATGATCCCAGTTCATACATATGATTGTTTCTACTTCCTGCAGTAAGTTAACACTACAAGTGATCGGTTTTCTCGTTATGCCTGCTATCTGAGATGACCTTAAATTCGTCCTTTTAATTTTTTTAATCTGAATATAGGGCATCGAGAATCTTAGCCTTTAATTTCCATATAGAGGAAATTGAAGCATTCTCCTACATATATGCATGAAGAAAGTTTTGAGTAAACTTTGAATTTTTTTTTAATCTCAATAAAAGAAAAACTATGGCATGGTATTGGAATATAACGACGTTTTATAGTTAACTAACCCACGGTGCTTATATTTTGGAATTAATATTACTTTCATGAGATCAAATCAAAAGAAATTTTAATAAAAAAAATCAAAGACGTACGATACGTTTATAAGGTAGACATAGTAAACGTAATCAAGAAGTCACACACAAAAAGATACATCACATTTTCACCATTACAAACTCATGAAGAATACAAGACAATTCTTCAACCATGGAGGACTCATCTAATCATGAGGATTGATAATACTCACCAAGACTAAACTTTGGAAGTTCTAAAACTATAGTAATAACACCACAAGAAAAAGAACCCACCACACTCCAAAGGTACTACATATGGAACTCAGTTTCCTTTATTTTATTGTATTCTAGTTCTTTTTCCTTTTACAATGTGATTTACTCTAACGAAAATTAATTCAAACTTGGAATAAGAGGCGAGCTCACGACTATAACCAACTGCCTTAACTTATATTTGTAATTGTATTTTAGTTAATATGGCCATTTTAACTCACGACTATAACCAACTGCCTTAACTTATATTTGAAATTGTATTTTAGTTAATATGGCCATTTTAACTCACCACGTTTTGAAAACCATTGTGACGACCCACCATGCAATTTACCGAATTTTCTTTTCTGAAAGTATTTGAGGTGGGGTTGAATTTAATTTGGAATTTGGAGAGTTGGTGGTTCGAGGTTGAAAGCTTCGAAGTGAGGGAGAAAGCGAAGAGTTGAGGAAAAAAGAGGAAGGATAAGAGATTTTGGTCGTTAGATTTGTATCAATGGATGAGATCCATCAGTCTGAAGGATCTCCACAAAATTAATCCAGAGAGGATCAAAATCCGTATGTATAATAACTTAAAACCATATGACATTTATAGGGAAAGAAAGAGATAGAAGGATAGAATAGTCTAATTCTAACTATTTATAATGACTTAAAGTCTATGTGGCATTCATTATTGACCTATGCCTAATTAATAAAAATATATCATTGATTAAGTTCAGAACAAAAATATGGCATTGATATATGGCTTAATAGTAAATTTTTATTGACTTTTGGCTAAATTACCTTAGTTTAATTAGCATTAGACTTCAATTTTAATTTATTCACACTATTTAAACATCATCAACTCTTTATGACTTCATCACATTTCAAGTTTCGGCCAACATACTTCAATTTCAAATGTTCATGTGGACATTCCAAATCGGAGTGTGACATCTTCCTCCAACAAGACTCTTTATTTTAATTAACTAATTATTCATAAATTCATCTTATTTTCTTACATGAGGGTCGTTGCACCCATTTGGATTATGATTGGTGACAATTTGGTCATCTTCCTAAAATAAATAAAAAAACTATAAAAGTTACGCGGGTTACATCATTGGTTTATTCATCAGTCCAAATTGTCAATTCAACAATTGTATTTTGACATAGCCTTAATCGGTTTTGTTTGCTTAAATAGATAACCCAGGTTTATTACCGGATGTCATTTGGACAAAAAATAAGATTTTTTCTTCTTCTTATAAATAAAATCATAACTTAAATAATTTTGCAGTCCTATTAGATTAGATTAGTAATGTGATTGTGTAAATCCTAACATATATAGGATATCCTTATAGGATTATTTCATATCTCTTAGACTAAATATTATCCTACTAGAGTTGTAATCCTATTGGGATAAGGAATTTAGCTTCCCTACTACTATAAATAAAGGCACAATGGGGTGGAATAGAACACACCTTACAATTACACACCTCTTTCTCTCTAATGTGCCGTAACCTCTCTCTATGTCCTCTATAATTGTTTAGTAAATTATGCTTACAACACATTATCGGCACACTCTTGATGCTACGCTAAAGAGAATTTGATTTTCAATCAAGGGATTATTACATTTTAATCATTCTTTTTATGATTAATTTATTATTTGGAATTGATCTACATGTTATTGATTCAATTTAATTTTTTTATGTTGAACGTGATACAATACATTCGAGATGCAATTCTGAAAATGATCTTCGATAAAATTCAAAGGCTTTTATTGTTTTCTGCCAATCAAGAAAATAAAGGAAGATATTTGAAATGACCATAAAGTACGAAAACATTCATCATGATGCATGAACCCCCTACATTTATATTTTCCTTCCGATATATATATATATATATATATATATATATATATATATATATATATGTATATGTTTCATATATTTGTGTGTATATACACACACACACACACACACACGTTCATGCATTATGCAATTTTTGCTATATAGAATTTGTGAGTCAAAGAATCGAAAGAAATTAGAAGCAATTAGGGGTTTTTCAAACCATAGGAATTTCGAGAAAAAAAAACAACAATTAAATTTTGGGAAAATTTTGATATTGAGCTGCGACTCGTAGCCACGCCGACCTAACACTAAGGCAAGCCTACATCTCGAGGCTTGGGTGCTGAAACTTTGAGGCAGCAGCCGTTTGGGCTTTGCTGCATGTGTGGACCAGGCCTTTGGCCTAAGTTTGAACCAGCTAGGCCTGCAACCCTCCAAGCAGCATACCAACAACTTGTTTGTTGGGCCTATTCCTCACTCCAGCCAATGCCAGACCAAGCCAGCACGTGCTAGGCTTGTCCAGCGCCCTCGACTCACCAAGCCAGCATTGCTGAGCCAGTCCCGCGCCACACTTAAGCCCGCAAAGTTGGGTGGTGTTAGCCCAAAGCCACTGAATGTTGGGCTTTTGCTCCCTCTTGCAATATTGGCCCGCTTCTAGCAGCTTATGCACTGTTGGCATGGTTCTAAAAAAACACTAGGCACTAGTCGGGCAGTGAGCTGAGGCTTAGCGCCTAGGCGGACTAGGCGGATTTAGATTTATTATATATATTATATGACTATATAATTACTTATTTTATCTATATATTATAATAGTCTAAGGAAAAAAGTCATTATTTAAATAATTCATATAACATTTTATAACATTTATCTATAACATATATATATATATATAAATTTATTTATATCTCCAACTTTTTAAAAGAGAACAAGACCATGCAGTGTGCCAGACTGCCAGTAGGTGATTTCACAATTAGAAACCGGGTTCCATCCCATCTCTCTCACATTCCCCAATAACAAGACCATGCAGTGTGCTAGTGGGTGGTTTCAAAATTAAAAATCGGGTTCCACTCCACCTCTCTCACATTCCCCAAGGTGGAGCCCAAATCAAAACCACATTTTGACCCATTGGAAAGGGAAAATACTATTCCCATTAAATCAAGCCTGTAACTCTCACCGCCGAGGCGCTCTCTCTCTCTCTCTCTCTATTCGTACTCTTTCTTCCCTCATCTACTCATAGACGGCAAGCTTTAGAAGCTCGTCAAGGCTCAGCTTTTACGTACGACATTGGAAGTTGCAGATTTGTTATGAGAGTTGCAGTAAGTTTGGGATTTGCAGTTGCCTAGACCGCTTAGAACGCTTAACAAGTGCCTAGGCAGCCGCATGAATCC